GGATTCGGCTATTTCAGCCACACCCGTTGCTTCACAATCTGGCAGTCCGAAGGACGAATCTGGGTTTGGCGGATCCCAGGAGAACGCTACCTGCCCGACTGCATAGTTCTGTAAAGTTTGGTGGAGGAGGAATAATGGTCTGGGGCTGTTTTTCATGGTTCAGGCTCCTTAGTTCCAGTGAAGGGACATCTTAACACTACAGCATACAATGACATTCTAGACGATTATGTGCTTCCAACTTTGTGTCAACAGTTTGGGGAAGGCCCTTTCCTGTTTCAGCATGACAATGCCCCCGTGCACAAAGCGAGGTCCATTCAGAAATTATTTGTTGAGATTGGTGTGGAAGAACTTGACTGGCCTGCACAGAGCCCTAACCTCAACCCCATTGAACACCTTTGGGATGAATTGTAATGCCAACTGCCAGCCAGGCCTAATCGCCCAACATTACAACATCTAGTGGAAAGCCTTCCCGGAAGAGTGGAGGCTGTTATAGCAGCAAAGGGGGGACCAACTCCATATTAATGCCAATGATTTTGGAATGAGATGTTTTGAAGAGCAGGTGTCCATATACTTTTGGTCATGTAGTGTACAAGTCTAGACACCCTAAAACAGTCTGTCTCGACGATTCATTCTTGAAACACTTTGACTTTAAGGCTAACAGTTATACAAGTGGTCGCAGTAGGCTTCCACGGATCCAGTTGAGGAAAGCACTGCTTGCTTTTGCCTGGCTTTGTCTATTTTTGATTTTGACTCAGGAACTCTGTGAGACAAATACCTTCGGGCTTACTTGTAGAGACTACAGGGAGGGTATTTGCGCAGCATGTCTTGAGAGCAGTCCAGGACCTTTTGCATTTCTTCATTCCGCCAAGGGGAATGAGTTCAGGCCAGAAGCATTTTTCACCAGGGACTTCTTGTAGCTCTTCCCACCCCATTCCATTACTACAAACCCTCCCTCCAGTTCTCCCTCCACTTGGAGGTGAAAGTTAGTGAGCTCAATCCTCAAGGAAAAGACAGCATTTTGAAAACTTGTGGTGGATTCTTCATTTTACTGCCCTTCCATTCCAATTGTTTCAGACCAGACAGTGCAGATGAAAGAAAGGTAACAGAGACACCTGACCAGTTTTTTCAGACCAGACACTGCAGGTCAAGGGAAGGAGACGAGCAGAGAAAGACTCTTTAGACCATTGAGATGCAGCCTTTTCTGTTGGCCAGCATTCCCCACCGCCCCGTGACAAGTGACACCTAGCAGCAGAACACCGCATCCAGCTTCCGCCCCTCGCGCCTCCCAAGCACCAAATCCGTGTACACAACGTCAATATTTATCTTTCTACCGCCAACTGCCTTGCTCCAAAAAGGTTAGTGGAAACTTACTACCAGGGCTCAAGACTGAGACCATTTAGTGGCATTTTGCGACCCTTTGACTTGGCTGTGCGACTGACATTTTTTATTGGTCGCATTGGTGTGATCTGCACATTCTACATAGTCACCTCACTCAAAACGTCCTATTTTTAGGAGGCTAATAACATGATTTGGTCAAACAGTAAAGTGCATTATCCTCATGGTTCCTGGAATGAACACTTCTGCCCTGAGTCTGATGCTCTGCCTGTTTCGCTGGGGCCTGCTGCTATGATGAGCGAGCCGCTCTCACTGCCTCCCACTGCGCTCTGGGAGAAAAAATAAGTGTCCTGATTGTATAACATTTCAAAATCCAATTGTGGGAAAACACTGATATATTTGATATTGCTTTGAGATACGGAGCATGTGAAATGCACGTTGGCCATTTACTGTTAGATTAATACATAGCTTATACCAGTGTGTATTCTATTTAGTTAGCAATCCAGCTAATGTGTTTTGAATTTTAGATATAACAAAAGCCTAATTGCCAACCCAAAGTTCATGACAAAAACTGGATTAGGTTGTACATCAAACTATCTTGAATCATGCATTCCTGCTTAAACTTGTTAGATGAAAATGTATTTCTTGAATACCATCTCAGTAGTCTATTACACTTTTTAATGAAGCACTGTGAATGACAGAAAATGATTAGGCCTACTAATTATTTCTATTGCCTGGCGCCGTGAAAAAACTGAAAAGGTTAGTGGTACCAGGGGAAAATGTTAGTCTGGAGCCCCAACAGCCCCCTCCTGCTTGTTCTCATGTTGGCTAAAGGGTAGACTGGACAGATGCTAAGATTGTTTGAAGGTTTCAACGCCGACATTTAACCTCTTTAGGTATCAGCTCTGACAAGCCTGTGATGTGAAGTGATGTCGACTCACGTCTTGGGCACCGCCACGAGAGGCGACAGTTTGGTGTCAACAGCTAAGCAGGGACGTTTCAGCATCGCCACCCAAATGAAGATTTAACAGAAGTTAATGCAGGGATAAAGTACCTTGTAGAGCAATTCTCAACCATTTATTTTTCCGTTTTCCACGATACAGCTTAGCATAGTGGCTTTTCTTCAAACACCTGATTCAGCGAATGAAGGTATCAAATCAGCTCTGCGCTGAGCTGGAACAAAAGCTTGCACACCCTGTAGCTCTCTAGAGCTCCACTGTTTTTGCACTATTGCTGCAATGCTAATTCAGTAGACGACTGACCTTAACCTACTGTCTGAGGTCATTTTTTTAATGAGTGGAATTAAGCCAAAAAGAAATTTGAGGTTGTGGTCATTTGCTTCACGAATTCGCTAGATTTTATGTTGAGTGTTTCCCCTTAAATGAGACGGATAACCTTTAGACTGAGCATGGGTGAGTCAGTTGAGCCCACTGCTTTCTACTTGGGGGTTGTAGAAGTAGACGAAGCCCAGTTGCCAGACCACTAAGAGCTGTGAAATTCCAAAGTGCTGCTTGGAATATTGAGACGGGAATATTACGGCATGTGACCTAGTTGTAGTGGATTCGTATCAGGATGCAAACATCTGCCGTAACCATTTTGTATCTGAACTTGTGTCACGTTTGAATCAAAATAGAAGTCATCTCTTCTCATGTCACTCATTTGAGTGATAGGCTATGGGTCTATGTCTTGCTAGTTAGTGAAAGGTTTTTGGACTTAAAGATCTATGTGTGCACATTTGTGGGTGCACTATCACGTGTGTGTCTGCAAAAATTATGAATTGAGATTGTACTTTATTGTCTGCTTGACTGACTAATCGTAGACTAATTTGAACTATGAAACTAAAGGAAGCGACACTCCAGTCTCAAACCCAAACCCATTAACAGTTGAACTGGGTAAGAGGAAGCCATGACAACCTTGGCTCCTTAATAACCTATGAGCCTGCCTTGGTCCATACAGGAATCCCATCAGTCACAAAAGACTGGTTTTGAGTCCTCTTACCTAAATGACAGAGAACTTAAAAACCTGGGTCACATCATACAAGACTGCACCATTTTGCAATGTCTAACTTTTTTGGTTCGTTTTGGAGATCTTAACTGCAAAGCTAGGGAAGTTGGATTCATATATGCTCGTGAGATTAGCAATTTTTTTTATCAGTTTTTGGGAAACCAATCAGATGCTAACAATGCATGTGACATCATGGAGTTGTGAACTTGTCTTTGAGGAAACTTCCAGCCTTTTCACATAGCATTAGGCAGCATTAGAAGTTTAAACAGCATAGCACAGGATCTACTGTAGCATGATGTCAGTTTTTCTGCATTAGACTGTCTTGCGTGACTGACTACACACACACACACACACACACACACACACACACACACACACCACACCACACTTATGAGGCGCTCACTGAGGCACTTAAAGACTTCCTGACACTCAGGTGACCCCTTGTTTGTCTTCTTATGGGGTCATGTCTAGATGGGATACAGCTTTTGTCAAAAGCAGATATATTTTTTCTCAATTTTAGCTAACCCTTTTCCTAACCTTAACCTAATTCTCCTAACCTTAACCTAATTCTCCTAACCTTAACTTACACAGTAGTTTAGGAGAATTAGGTTATCTTAAACCTCCTGCAAAAAGTCAATTTTGACAAAAGGAGTATCCCTTCTAGACAAAACCCTCTTACAGGGGCCCCTCTTTCGTATCTGAGGTACTAGTAGTTGCTGCTCTTCCATCAATAGAAAAATTCAGCAGCCAATCACATAAAATATCTCCCTCTCTCTCTCTCTTTCCCCCTCACTATCGTCTCAGTTTGAGGCTCTGTCTGTGTACTTCAGTCCTTTTCTTCTCTCCCCCTCTGATCTCTATCAGGACTAGATAGGTGGATAATTGAAAGCACCTGGTATCCGACAAACGCTCCAAGTCAGTTAGAGAGGAGAGCATCCGGACATGTTTGACAGAAGTCAAAAGAACTCTTGGCATCCTGATGACATTTGTTTGTCAGTTTCATTTGACCGCTTTCGCCACATAAACAACTCAGCACAGAAGTCGATGTGTAGGCTATCAACCAAGATCATACAGCTCTTCATACAGCACTTCATACAGCTCTTCATTCAGCTCTTCATACAGCTCGTCATACAGCACTTCATACAGCACTTCTATGCAAGGTATGTTTGAGAATGAGGAAAAAGGCATCAATTGATATGTGGATAGATTGTCTGTTTGGATAGATTGGATATGTGGATAGATTGTCTGTTTGTATAGATTGGATGTGTGGATAGATTGTCTGTTTGTATAGATTGGATGTGTGGATAGATTGGATATTTGGATAGATTGGATATGTGGATAGATTGTCTGTTTGGAAAGATTGACTGGGCCTTTTGAGGGATGTAACGTCCTACATTCCAATGTGGTCCGATCTGATGAGCAGTGCACAGTAGATGGAGCCTGTTGTGTATCAACTGGACACCAGATATGCTTTGCACGGTCTCTTCTCCTGTGTCTGTGTACTGATGTCTGCCTACCGATCTATGACAGTGCTAGTGTATTCTTGGGGGGGGGGGGGGGGGGGTCTATGACTGTGAAGAGGTTGTGTAGTCTTCAGTTTTTCCGTTAGGTTTAAGTGTTGTTTTTTTTACAGATAATGTGTGCGTGCGAGGAGGGCACAGAATGGCTCAAGGTTTAAACCCAGTTTCTCCTCCATTTTTCTGTGTGTTATCCAGAAGCTGGGCAGTAATATGCAGTCGGAGGAGGGCACAGAATGGCTCCTGGAGCTGCTGATGGAGGTGCAGCTGCAGCAGTACTTCCTCCGTATCCGCGACGACCTCAACGTGACGCGACTCTCCCACTTCGACTACGTCAAGAACGAGGACCTGGAGAAGATCGGAATGGGGCGACCCGGTGAGTTTTTATAGTGGAGTGTGTGTGTGTGGGGTGGTGTGTGCAGTGTGCGTTCATGCTGTGCATCTTTGTCCAAGTGCATTCTTGAACTATTTGTGTGTGTGGACAGTGCTATGAAAAAGTATTTGCCCCCTTTCTAATTTTCTCTACTTTTGCATATTTGTGATACTGAATGTAATCAGATCTTCAACCAAAACCTAATATTAGATAAAGTGAACATAAGTGAACAAATAACACAAAAATTACATATTTATTTCATTTATTTCATAAACAAAGTTATGCAACACCCAATTCCCCTGTGTGAAAAAGAAATTGCCCCCTTACACTCAATAACTGGTTGTGCCACCTTTAGCTGCAATGACTCCAACCAAATGCTTCCTGTAGTTGTTGATCAGTCTCTCACGTCGCTGTGGAGGAATTTTGGCCCACTCTTCCATGCAGAACTGCTTTAACTCAGTGATGTGTGGGTTTTCAAGCATGAACTGCTCGTTTCAAGTCCTGCCACAACATCTCAATTGGGATTAGGTCTGGACTTTGACTAGGCCATTCCAAAACTTTAGCAATTTTCATTTAGACTTGATTGTGTGTTTTGGATCATTGTCTTGCTGCATGACCCAGCTGCGCTTCAGCTTCAGCTCACAGACGGATGGTCTGACATTCTCCTGTAGAATTATCTGATACAGAGCAGAATTCATGGTTCCTTCTATTAAGGCAAGTCGTCCAGGTCATGAGGTAGCAAAGCATCCCCAAACCATCACACCACCACCACCATGCTTGACCTTTGGTATGATGTTCTTACTGTGGAATGCAGAGTTTGGTTTTCGCCAGGCATAATGGGACCTATCTCGTCCAAAAAGTTGACTCAAGTTTGCCAAAAAGCACCTGGATGATCATCAAGACTCTTGGAAGAAAATTCTTTGGACAGATTATTCAAAGTATAACCTTTTGCACGACATGGTTCCAGTAATGCCTGGCGAAAGCCAAACTACTGAGTTTCAAACTCTGGAAGCAACGTCAGCACAAGAACTGTTCGTCGGTCGCAATGCCAAGCGTTGGCTGGAGTGGTGTAAAGCTTGCCGCCATTGGACTCTGGAGCAGTGTAAATGCGTTCTCTGGAGTGATAAATCACGCTTCACCATCTGGCAGTCCGACGGACGAATCTGGGTTTGGCGGATGCCAGGAGAACGCTACTTGCCCCACTGCATAGTGCCAACTGTAAAGTTTGGTGGAGGAGGAATTAATGGTCTGGGGTGTTTTTCCATGGTTCGGGCTAGGCCCTTTAGTTCCAGTGAAGGGAAATCTTAACGCTACAGCATACAATGACATTCTAGACGATTCTGTGCTTCCAACTTGGTGGCAACAGTTTGGGGAAGGCCCTTTCCTGTTTCAGCCTGACAATGTCCCCGTGCACAAAGCTAGGTCCATAAAGATATGGTTTGTCGACATCGGTGTGAAAGAACTTGACTGGCCTGCTCAGAGCCCTGACCTCAACCCCATCGAACACCTTTGGGATGAATTGGAACGTCGACTGCGAGCCAGGCCTAATCGCCCAATATCAGTGCCCGACCTCACTAATGTTCTTGTGGCTGAATGGAAGCAAGTCCCCGCAGCAATGTTCCAACATCTAGTGGAAAGCCTTACCAGAAGAGTGGAGGCTGTTATAGCAGCAAAGAGGGGATCAACTCCATATCCATGCCCATGATTTTGGAATGAGATGCTCGACAAGTAGGTGTCCACATACTTTTGGTCATGTAGTATACATATAGGTAGGGATAGAGTGACTAGGCAACAGGCTAGATAATAAACAGTAACGGCAGCGTATCTGAAGAGTCAAAAGAGTTAGTGCCAAAACGTTCGATGCAGATGGTCCGGGTAGCTATTGGTTAACTATTTAGCAGTCTTATGGCTTGGGGGTTGAAGCTGTTCAGGGTCCTGTTGGTTCCAGACTTGATGCATCGGTACCGTGCGGTAGGAGAGAGGAACAATCAATGACTTGGGTGGCTGGAGTCTTTGACCATTTTTAGGGCCTTCCTCTGACACCGCCTGGTATAGAGGTCCTGGATGGCAGGGAGCTCGGCCCCATTGATGGACTGGGCCATACGCACTACCCTCTGTAGCGCCTTGCAGTCGAATGCCAAGCATTCGCCAAGCAGCAGTGATGCAGCCAGTCAAGATGCTCTCAGTGGTGCAGCTGTAGAACTGTTTGAGGATCTGAAGACCATGCCGAATATTTTCAGGCTGTTGGTGTGTGTGGACCATGATAATTCCTTAGTGATGTGGACACCAAGGAAATTGGAGCTCTCGACCTGCTCCACTACAGCCCTGTGGATGGGGGGTGTGCTCGGCCCTCTGTTTCCTGTTTCTTGCTGACGTTGAGGTTGTTATCCAGGCACAACACTGCCAGGTCTCTGACCTCCCTTTAGGCTGTCTCATCAGTCAGTGATCAGGCCTACCACCGTCGTGTCGTCTGCAAACTTAATGATTGTGTTGCAGTCATGGGTGAACAGGGAGTAGAGGGGACTAGGCACGCACCCCTGAGGGACTCCTGTGTTGAGGGTCAGCGTGGCGGATGTGTTGTTGCCTACCCTCACCACAGGGGGGCGACCCACCGGGAAGTCCAGAATCTAGTTGCAGTAGGAGGTGTTTAATCCTATGGTCCTTAGCTTAGTGATGAGCTTGGAGGGCACTATGGTGTTGAACGCTGAGCTGTAGTCAATGAACACCCTTCTTTCATAGGTGTTCGTTTTGTCCAGGTGGGAAAGGGTCATGTGGAGTGCAATAGAGATTGCGTCATCTGTGGATCTGTTGGGGCGGTATGCAAATTGGAGTGGGTCCATGGTATCTGTGATGATTGTGTTGATGTGCGCCATGACCAGCCTTTCAAAGCATTTCATGGCTACAGATGTGAGTGCTACGGGGCAATAGTCATTTAGACTGATTACCTTGGCGTTCTTGGGCACAGGGACTATGGTGGCCTGCTTGAAACATGTAGGTATTACAGACTGGGTCAGGTAGAGGTTGAAAATGTCAGTGAGGACACTTGCCAGCTGGTCAGCGCATGCTCTGAGTACGCGTCCTGGTAATCCGTCCGGCCTTGTGAATGTTAACCTGTTTAAAGGTGTTACTCACATTGGCTACAAAGAGCGTCCGGAACAGCTGGTGGTTCATGGTTCAGTGTTGCTAGCCTCGAAGCGAGCATAGACGGCATTTAGCTCGTCTGGTAGGCTCGTGTAACTGGACAGCTCGTGGCTGGGTTTCCCTTTGTAATCCATGATAGTTTGCAAGCCCTGCCACGTCCGACGAGCGTCAGAGCCGGTGTAGTAGGATTCGATCTAGGTCCTGTATTGAAGCTTTGTCTGTTTAATGGTTCGTCGGAGGGCAGAGCGGGATTTCTTATAAGCATCCGGATTAGTGTCCTGCTCCTTGAAAATGGCAGCTCTAGCCTTTAGCTCAGTGCGGATGTTGCCTGTAATCCATGGTTTCTGGTTGGGATGTGTACGTACGGTCACTGTGAGGAAGACATCGTCGATGCACTTATTAATGAAGCTGGTGACTGATGTGGTAAACTCCTCATTGCCATTGGGTGAATCCCGGTACATATTCCATTCTGTGGTAGCGAAACAGTCCTGCAGCTTAGCATCTGCTTCATCGGACCACTTCCGTATTGGTACTTCCTGTTTGAGTTTTTGCTTCTAAACAGGAATCAGGAGGATAGAGTTATGATCAGATTTGCCAAATGGAGGGCAAGGGAGAGCTTTGTATGTGTCTCTGTTTGTGGAGTGCAGGTGATCTAGAGTTTATTCGCCTATAATTGCATAGGTAACATGCTGGTAGAAATTAGAACATTGATTTAAGTTTGGCTATTCACAAGCCTGGAGAAACACCTGCTTTTCTCTCCCTCACTCCTTGTCTCTCTGTGGAGCAATGATAAACAGGATGTATTTCCCTTATGTCGACTCCCACCACATCCTTTCTTAATTTACCCCTGATTTCCAGCACATCCACTAAGCTCACTGTAGTTATACTAACTGTATTCTGTTAGGTTAGATTCCACTCTCTTTTGTCCTGGAGTTACGCTAACTAGGAAGTGAAACAGAATATCAATAAAGTATTTTCTTTCCAACACGAATGCCCCTAATATCTTTTCATATTTCACATTTAACCGGTAATTATAAAAAATATAAAGCGTAAACCTTGCAAATGTAATTTCCAAAAATGTATACACTGAGTATACAAAACATCACCTACTACAGCGAGTGAAATCACTGCAACACTTAACAAAGAGCTGCAGTTAGAGTTTCAGAATGGGTGGTAAGGAATAAGTTAGACCTAAATATTTCAAAAACTAAAAGTATTGAATTTGGGACAAATTATTCACCAAACCCTAAACCTCAACTAAATCTTGTAATAAATAATGTGGAAATTGAGCAAATTGAGGTGACTAAACTGCTTGGAGTAACCCTGGATTGGAAACTGTCATGGTCAAAACATGTTGATACAACAGTAGCTTATTGTTGTCACTTGTTAAATTGTTGTCAGGTTAAATAAAGATTTTTAAGCCTTGAGGCAATTGAGACATGGATTGTGTATGTGTGCCATTCAGAGGGTGAAGGGGTGAGACAAAATATTTAAGTGCCTTTGAACGGGGTATGGTAGTAGGTGCCAGGCGCACTGGTTTGTGTCAAGAACTGCAAAGCTGCTGGGTTTTTCACACTCAACAGTTTCCCATGTGTATCAAGAATGGTCCACCACTTAAAGGACATCCAGCCAACTTGACCGTGGGAAGCATTGGAGTCAAGGGTGGGTGGGTGGTGCGCAACTCAATATTAGGAAGGTGTTCCTAATATTTGGTACACACAGTGTACGTTGGCTACATTCCAATATCCATACTAGGATACCACTTAGAAATACATACCCAATCAATCAAATATATTTTATAATATTACCGAATAAAACTGTGATCACTGCACTACAAACATTTTAACCAATCACAGCACTTTTACTGCATAAAATGATTAAATCAAGCCACACGTCAACAAAACTTTTCCCCCGTCAGCACATTTTCTTAATAACTTGAACAAAATCATCTCAAATTGCAATGCAAAATGTCAGAAGTGCTGCATCTAAATCAAGCAGTTTTGCCCGCTACTATCACAGAAAAACGCTGTGGAATCCTGGAGGGACTGAACAGTACAGAACAGTGCAGTCCCAGAGCATGCTTTTCTTACGTATCAAGTACAGCAGTGGTGCCCAACTATCCTCTGAGAGGGCTACCCCTTCTGGAAGCTTTTGCAACAACCCTAATCTAGCCTGATTCTACTAATTAGCTGCTCACCAGGACCTTGATTAGCTGAATCAAAGGAGTTTCAGCACAACAGGGTTGAAGCAAAAGCTTGCATTGCCAGTAGCTTTCCAGGAAGAGGGTTTGCCGACTCTGAAGTATACTGAACAAAAATAAAAAACGCAACATGCAACAATTTCAATTATTTTACAGAGTTAGTTCATATAGGGAAATCAATCAATTGAAATAAATTCATTAGACCCTAATCTGTGCATTTCACATGACTGGGCAGGGGCGCAGTCATAGGTCCACCCACTTGGGAGCAAGGCCCACCCACTGGGGAGCCAGGCCCAGCCAATCTGAATGAGTTTTTCCCCACAAAAGGGCTTTATTACAGAGAGAAATACTCCTCAGTTTCATCAGCTGTCCGGTTGGCTGGTCTCAGACGATCCCGCAGGTGAAGAAGCCGGATGTGGAGGTCCTGGGCAACATGGTCTGCGGTTGTGAGCTGCCAAAATCTCTAAAACGATGTTGGAGGTGGCTTATGGTAGAGAAATGAACATTACATTCTCTGGCAACAGCTCTGGTGGACATTTTTGCAGTCAGCATGCCAATTGCACGCTCCCTCAAAACTTGAGACATCTGTGGCATTGTGTTTTGACAAAACTGCACATTTTAGAGTGGCCTTTTATTAGATGCACCTGTGTAATGATCATGCTGTTTAATCAGCTTCTTGATATGCCACGCCTGTCAGGTAGATGGATTATCTTGGCAAAGGAGAAATGCTCACTAACAGCGATGTAAACAAATTTGTGCCCAAATATGAGAGAAATACGATTTTTGTGCGTATGTAACATTTCTGGGATCTTTTATTTCAGCTCATGAAACATGGGACCAACACTTTACATGTTGGGTTAATATTTTTGTTCAACATAGAATAGGATATTCGCATATGAACAGGTCCAGAGCGTTAAGCATTAGCATAACACTGATTGTTAAGTGAGCGACTCAATGTTTGGTTTACAACCCTCTGCACCCATACATTAATGAATGAATGATGTTGAATTGAATATGACTATCACTATCACATAGCATAGTGATATTACTGTAGTTTTTGGAAGAAGGAGTTTCTGATTCTTGGTCTACATAGTCAGTGACATTCTCCTCTCTCTCTCTCTTTCTCCCTCTCTCTCTCTGTCTCTCTCTCTCTCTCTGTCTCTCTCTCTCTTCTCTCTTTCTCCCACTCTCTCTCTGTCTCTCTTCTCTCTGTTTTTCGCGGGTGTCGCTACAGGGCAGAGACGGCTGTGGGAGGCGGTCAAGAGGAGGAAAGCCATGTGCAAGCGGAAGTCCTGGATGAGCAAGGTACGGTACACAAATGCATACATACAGATACCCTACATACAAATATAATACATACAGTACACTCACTCTACAGTACAAACGATCTGTCTCGTACAGTGTCTTGATCCATCCTGTCGCACATTGTCAATCTCTGTTCCCTGTGGACATTAGGACGTGTTATCTTTGGTCTGAATTCACTGTCCCCATAGCTTGGTTTTACAGACTGAGTTCAATTGAGCTGAGCAGTTGTGTATACAATGGAGGTGTATAGAGAGGTTAGATGTCAGGTTCATTTGTGTGAGCGCGCACATGTACAGGCAATTGCCAAAATAAAGGAAACACCAACAAAGTGTCTTAATAGGACGTTGGGCCACCACGCGCCACCAGAAACACTTCAAAGCACCTTGGCATAGATTCTACAAGTGTCTGGAACTCTATTGGAGGGATGCGACACCATTTTCCCACAAGTAATTACATTATTTGGTGTTTTGTTGATGGTGGTGGAAAGTGCTGTCTCAGGTGCCACTCCAGAATCTCCCATAAGTGTTCAAGTGGGTTGAAATCTGGTAACTTTTGCCCTCAGAACATCCTCAATTCGTCGGGGCATGGACTCTACAAGGTGTCAAGCATTCCACAGGGATGCTGGCTCATGTTGACTCCAATGCTTCCCACAGTTGTGTCAAGTTGGATGGATGTCCTTTGGGTGGTGGACCATTCTTGATACACACGGAAAACTGTTGAGCATGAAAACTCAGCAGCGTTGCAACCGCTGTGCCTGGCACCTACTACCATACCACGTTCAAAGGCACTTAAATCTTTTGTCTTGCCCATTCACCCTCTGAAGGGCACACATACACAATCATGTCTCAATTGTCTCAAGGCTTACAAATCCTTTAAGCTGTCTCCTCCCCTTCAAGTGACATCAATAAGGGATCATAGCTTTCTCCTGGATCCACCTGGTCATTCTCTGTCATGGAAAGAGCAGGTGATCTTAATTTGTTGTACACTCAGTGTACACAGAATGCATAGAGACGGACAGATTCTAGTATGCTCACAAACATACAGTGCACACACCACACACACACACACACACAGAGCTTGGCTGGCTCTATCGCTGTCAACTGAGTTTGCATATGACCCCTGAGTCGGCATGTATAACGGAGTACAACTCTGAACTGTACCACTAATTGTCTGCTGAATAACCACATTACACACACACTTACTCACTGCCATGTCACCCTCTGAGGTTTAGTATTTGGGAGCTGCAGGCCTCTAGGATGCAGACTGCAGTGTTGGCCGCTCCAGCCAGAATGCAGCCAGGCTGAGGAGATGATAGCTTTCTAAAATTACACGTGTTTGTTTTCCGCTTCTGGCACCAACCACCGGTCCAAGTAATCTGCCTCCTCAGCCACTGACTGTGCTTGTGTGTTTGTGTGGGGGAGCTCAGGGTGTTAGTGTGTGTGTGTGTGTGCGTGTGGTTATTCAGCAGACAGTTTGGGGTACAGTTTAGGGTTGTGTGCTGGTCTACCATCTTCACTATTTAAAAAAACGTCCCTTCCCCTATTTAGAACACCAGACTCAACACAGATACAGACACACAGACTGCAGAACAGACTTATTGATATACACACCACACCACAGACGTGGAGCTGTAAAAATCCCCTCAGCCAGTAATGTCCAACTCCGTCTGCACTCAGATCACCTTTTGCCTTCATCAACAGTATGTCTTGCCCCTCTAAACAAAGCAACCTAACATACTGTTTACATTGAAGTCCCATGTACAGTATGGGTTCATATTGAGGTCAATAAGTAGTTGTAATAGCCTTACTCAAGGTTACTCCATTAGTATACCCCAGGGCCTGTATTCATAGGAGTGCTGATCTAGGAACAGTTTTACCTTTAAGCTGATAATAAATAAGAGGAGGGACCTGATCCTAGATCAGCACTCCTGCTCTGAGATGCTTTACGGGCTGAGACCTCTTTTTTCTTCCAAAGACCAACTTAAATATCTGTGTTAACAGTTTTTCTGCCTTAAAAGAAAAATCCACAAAAGAAAAGTCCACCGTTAATGCAGTCAGCAGTCAAGTTTTCAAGATCTAGAATTTCAAGAAGAAAAGTGTCTTGCCACATCATCATAATGGTGCGTTTAGAAAAAAATACCCCAAAACTTAACACAGATATAGGCTAGAGAAAGCAACAGGAAAAACTGGAATAAGCCAAAGAGGCATTGTAAAAAGCTTGAGGAGCATGGAGAAAAGCTTTAGACACTGAGGGAAGGGGCTTGATTTTAGTTCCTACTCACTGACACAAGTTTAATTTCCCTTCTTCCTCTCATAAAGATAACGGAATATCCTGGAGTTCTTGCGGAATACGGAAGGGAGGATTTGGTGTGTGTGCGTGTGTGTCTGTTAATTCTGTGTTAACTAATGTTTGTCTGTGTTTGAGTTTATCCATGCGTCTTGCTTGCACGCTCGTGTTTTTATGTTAATGCTTGTTTGTGTGTATTATTTGTCTGTTTGTGCATGTTTGTGGCAGTATTGTTTGAGAGGATGTGTTTGTGTGTGTGTGTGTGTGTGTGTGTGTGTGTGTGTGTGCATATGCGTACCCCCCTCTGCCTCCACCCCTCCCGCCCTCACCAATCCCCATATCAAGATAACAGGCTAGGGATCACTCTGCACCCTCCCTGCTGTGGCACCCCTGGCCAAGTGAGCCGACCGTGGGGCGCTGGACATAATTGAGCCCTGGCTCTCCTCAACACACACCTCCTACAGCTACAGCACACACTCAATGGCTGGGAGGGAGGAAGGGAAGGAGGAAGAGGGGGGAGGAGAATAACCCTTCACACTGGGGCTGGGGAGAGGGAGAAACGAGAGAGAGAGAGAGAGACGGGTGGGATGGGGGGATCGAGATAGAGAGACAGAAAGGGGGGAAAGAGGGAAGATAATATCAGGACCACTTCCCCCTCTACACAGCACAAGCCAGTGTCTCCCCTTTACAAAGTGCCTCAGCAGATAGCTTAATGACCGTTAGAGTTGAAAGACATGCTATCTCAACCCAACTAGGTGCTGTGGTCCTACCACCCTGCCTCCACACAGACAACCAATGTTGCTCTCCTTCTTTGAATACTGTACAACTAAGGTCAAAGTGCAGGGCTGCTTTGAAAAAAAGAAGTTGTTCTCAATGGGACTCCGTGCTTTAATAATACAATTTTTAAAAAGTAATACCTTGGCTGGCCACTTCAGTTAAACTTGCTCTTTATCTTTTGCAACTGTTCCATGTGGATATACACCGTTTTTTAGGTACATCTAGTACCGGGTCGGACACCCCTTTGCCTCCAGAACTGCCTGAATTCTTCAGGGCATTCTACAATGTGTCGGAAACGTTCCACAGGGATGTTGGTCCATGCTGACTCGATGGCCTCAGCTAATTGCTGCAGATTGGACAGCGGTACATTTATGCTGCGAACAGCCCATTCCATCTCATCCAATAGATGCTCTATTGGGTTGAGGTCTGGGGACTGCACAGGCCACTCAAGTAAACTGAACTCGCTGTCATGTTCCAGGCTATGTTTTTCCACTCCTCAATTGTCCAGTGTTGGTGATCGCGTGCCCACTGGAGCCGCTTCTTCTTGATTTTAGCTGATATTAGCTGATAGGAGTGGAACCCGGTGTGATCGTCTGCTGCAATAGCCCATCTGTGACAAGGATCGACAAGTTGTGCGTTCCGAGATGCCATTCTGCACACCACTGTTGTACTGCGGTTCTTGCCAGTCTCCTTCGACCTCTCATCAACGAGCTGTTTTCACCCACAGGACTGCCACTGACTGGATGTTTTCTGTTTGTCGCACCAATCTCTGTAAACCCTAGACACTGATGCGTGTGAAAAGCCCAGGAGGGCGGCCGTTTCTGACATACTGGGCGACGATCATACCACGCTCAAAGTCTCTTAGGTCACTCATTTTGCCCAATCTAACGTTCAATCGACCAGTAACTGAATGCCTGCTTTATATAGCAAGCCACGGCCACGTGACTCACTGACTGTAGGCGCAATCAATTTTCGTGAACTGTGTGGTGTACCTAATAAACTGGCCGGTGAGTGTATATCTTAATGGTGAACAACAACTTATTCTCACTGCTAAGTACTGGCTGTCTTTTTTACAGCAGTCAGATAACTCCTGGGCTACAGCACCCAAAGACTCATTTACAGAACTTAGTAAAAGTAGAGAACATATTTTGTTAATTTTGTATTAACACCATCTCCCCTCATTCCCTCTCTTCTTTCTCCAGGTGTTCAGTGGGAAGCGTCCGGACGGCGGGGACATCCAGCAGGCGGCGCCCACCTCCTCCTTCCGCAAGCTATCCCCAACGCCGCCCCCGGGGGTTGAGGGGAGTCCTCTATCCCTGTCCCAGCCCCCCCAGCAGCAGGCCCTCACCTGTCTGATCAGCGAGAAGGACCTGGCTCTCTTTGAGAAGCTGGGTGACGGCTCCTTCGGGGTGGTCAAGAGGGGCGAGTGGTTCACGCCCGCCGGGAAAGTGGTGAGAGGGACTGGGGAGTGTAGTGTGTGGGTACGGTACTGTTTGTGGGAAAGGCTGGTAGTGGGAGAGGTATTGGTCTGCATCTTACCCCCTATAGGCCCCCCTTTAGAAAACAGGGTCCCATCTAGACACATCTAATAACACACATGCTTCTGGAACACTTCTGGAACGCTTGATGTATACAGTAGTTTCACAGTACGGGATCAGGATAGAAAGACAGAGGAAGAGGAAATACAAGTCCCTCATGACCCTGGGAAACAAAGTATCAGTGGGTTCAAAGTTCAAACCATGACAACATGGGTAAAATGACCAAAAACACCTTCCTTCCAACATCTGTTCTGGTCAAACCCTTGACCACTAGCCCCTATAGATTTGACCTTGAGGGAGGGAAGGAGCGAGGGCGTGATGAAGAGAGAATCTTGTCCAAACACTCTCCAGCAGTGACCGCAACATGGCCAGATGGGAACAATAAAGCCAGGTGCAGAATCACAACAGATCAGTATCCAAGGGAATAGTTTACAAAACATTTCACAGAGCCCATAGAACAGGGGTATTCAAAGCTTACCCTCTGAGGTCCGGAGCCTGCTTGTTTTCTGTTCTATCTGATAATTAATTGCACCCACCTGGTGTCCCAGATCTAAATCACTCCCTGATTAGAGGGGAAGAATGAAAATAAACTGTGGAACTGGCTTTGAGGTCCAGATGAACATCTAGACCAGTGGCTGGGAATAAGGTCAGCTGATCTCCTACGTTATGCTGTAGTAGGACCTCCGTTCCCGTCGGGTTCTTATCCTACAGCATAATTGACCTGATATTTTACCTGATGATTTCAGCACCTTGCCACTGTCCTTAACAGCATTTAGATTAGCATGTAGGTCAGGCCAACTTGAACAACAAACAATAAAGTAAAAAATAATCTTGTTCAGGAAGTGCAACCTGGTGCTCTATTGTCTCCTGGTTTAAGACTGTTCTGCGGCCGCCAGGCTGTTAGTAAGTGCAACTGGCTATCAATCACTTTCACTATGGATTTTGATTTAGCATTTTGCTAACATGGTCCCCAATCTTTCTCTCCAGTTGACCGTAGCGGTCAAGTGTCTGAAGACGGACATGCTGAGCCAGCCGGATGCGTTGGAAGACTTCATCTGCGAGGTCAACGCCATGCACTCCCTGGACCACCAGAACCTCATCAGGCTGTACGGGGTGGTGCTCACACAACCCATGAAGATGGTACGGACGGACACACACAACACATGTTCAATACGTCATTTGAGTCCACAAATCAGATTACATTTGCAATATGATCATGGATACCATGAATACACCTTCTTCGCCCATGACAGCTGACACAGAGCCGTATCTTTCCAGCTGCTTTGCTTTGCTCTTTGTACATGCTTGTGTACATGCCTAAATAGCAGCACCACCAGCTTACACTCAAAACCTATACTGTTCCTAAGCGCAGACAGTGTCAAGTTTACAAACTGCTTCCTGTCCATGTGGCCCCTTTAAGTAATATCAAGGGCAGAAGTGATTGAGACCGAGGACTGAAATAAGGATTGACGTTTCCGCTCTGTTCTTTTCATCTCTGCGTCATTACATTTACATTTGAGTCATTTAGCAGACGCTCTTTATCCAGAGCGACTTACCTCCCTGTACTTCCTCAGTATTATTTTGGATTGATGTGGAGTACATTGTGTTTGGAGTCAACCAATAATGTTACATTGTTGTCACCTCCTTCCCCTCCCCCGGCACTCCCCGCAGCACCACTCCCTTTAAAGCAGGGTTTCCCAAACCTCTCTGAAAGTACCACCAGCTGTTCCACTTATTTTATGTATTGCCGTACTGGCAGCAGATTCATTTAGTCACAAGCCTTTCATTAGTTGAATTTGGTGTGGTAGCTCTGGAATACATCAAATACCTGGAGGTACTCGAGAAGAGGTTTGGGAAACACTGCTCTAAACTCTTGGGAGCTCACAGCCGTTACATTTTTGTTCCAGCCCAGCACTAACAACACACCCTCCTTCTCCAGGTGACTGAACTAGCCCCACTTGGCTCCCTCCTGGAGCGCCTACGCTGCGTCCGCCCACAGGGCCCCGTCCTCATCCACACGCTTTGCCAGTACGCCGTGCAGGTGGCATGCGGCATGGCCTACCTGGAGCAGCGGCGCTTCATCCACCGCGACCTGGCCGCCCGCAACATCCTGCTGGCGTCGGCCCAGAGGGTGAAGATCGGCGACTTCGGGCTGATGCGGGCGCTGCCCAACAACCACGAGCACTACGTCATGCAGGAGCACCGCAAGGTGCCGTTCGCGTGGTGAGTGGGACGGGGAAAGGGGATGGTGGTTGGGTGAGAGGGACGGTGCAGTGGGAAAGGGAGTGTGTGTGTTGCCACCGGGGGAGGAAAGGTTGGTGTGTATTTGTGTGTCGGTGTGATCAGGGCCGCCCACAATCAGTAGGCAAACGTTGTCTGACGTTGCAGATAGAAATGCCATGAATAGAGCTTACATGATTCTGTTATTCTACATGCTTGAGACATGTTTGTTCTAAGTAACATATTTTTATCTGAACATTCTACAACTTTGTGCCCTGGGGAATGAGCCCCTGATGTGGCTATGCATGGATGCCATAGTGTGTGTTTTTTTCCACTTTCTCGTCACCTTTTTGATCCATGGTCTTAACGTGTGTGTGTGTGTGTGTCTTCCCCCTCCAGGTGTGCCCCGGAGAGCCTGAAGACGCGGACGTTCTCCCACGCCACAGACACCTGGATGTTCGGGGTGACGCTGTGGGAGATGTATACCCACGGACAGGAGCCCTGGCTGGGCCTCAACGGTAGCCAGGTACACACATACACAGACACAGAGCAAACACAGACACTCAATCACTCTCACACACACACAAAATAGAAATACAAAATATTTTGGGGTTTTACGTCAAGGTTTCATTGTGGGTTCAATTTAAGTATTAAAGTCTGTGTATGTGTTTCAGATCTTACACAAGATAGACAAGGAGGGTGAGCGTCTGCCCAAGCCAGAGGACTGTCCCCAGGACATCTACAACGTCATGCTGCAGTGCTGGGCCCAGAAACCTGACGACAGGCCCACCTTCGTCGCCCTCAGGGAGTTCCTGCTCGAGGTACGCACACCCCTGTGTGTGTGTGTGGGGGGGTGGTTTACATCAGTGTTACATCAGTGTTAGTCTTCTTCGTGCATGTTTTCATGGGTGTATTTGGCCCGAGTCTATTTTGAATGTGTACGTTTGAGGTTGAATACACGACCTTCATAAGCGACAATTGTGCGTTCTAACGTCAAGTCTAGTTTATCAATCTGCTTACAACCTGAGATGTCAGTGCTAGCGCAAATACTTAACCTTTTTGTATAAAATGTCATTTAATTTACATTATTTATTTGTATTACTTAATGACAACATGAAGTTGGATTTTGGGAGCCCTTAAGGTGTTATATGGACCTATAGCCCCACCTAGTGAATCTTCTACTGTACTGCATGGGCCTTACCGACTGAAGAATCTTAACTTGTGTTCTTGCTTAACTGATGTCAAGGGAAGATTTGTGGAGGAAAAACTCAAAACTGATTTCAATGTAGATTTTGGGCCCAAATGACTTCGTTCTGATGCCTTGTGCCCCACTGTTGGGGTGCAGTGTTAGTTAAATGTACTCAAACTTGGTGTTTGTGTCCGTATGTGTGTGTCCATACCAGACCATGCCAACAGACATGTGCGCGCTGCAGGACTTTGAAGAGGCCGACAAGCTTCAGATTCAGGTCAACGACGTGATCACCATCATCGAGGGCAGGTGTGTGTGATCAACTAATGAACTATAAATCAATATTCTGTCATCGTTGTGTTTTTCTTTGCATGTTTGTGTATGTGCATGTGTCTGCATCTTCTTGCATGCCTGTGTGCGTGAGTATCTGCCCCTGTGTGTGTACCTGCCTGTGTGAATAGTATTTTATTAGGATCCCATTAGCTGTTGCTGAAGTGCCAGCTGCTTTTCCTGGGGTCCACACAAAGCATAACACATGACCTAACACAGAACATTAAAGCAGCTTATTAGCAGTTGCTACATCAAGTGTTTGAATGTATAAATTAATGATATGTGCCCATTTGATTCTTGAAGAATTTAACTTATAAATGCCTCATCAGCTTAGATCAACTGTCGTACCCCACCAGAACCCAAAATATAACCTTGTTTTACGCCAATGTTTGTAAAAAAAGTAAATGTAAACAAACACTACATAGCCTCAAAACATGGTTAAAACTATCATTTTGATATCATGGATGGTCAGTCCTTGTATCTATAGCTCTTTCTATTAATCTGAGGGTGGTTACGTTTCTCCAGCCCCATCCCTCAGCTTTTTACCGAAACAAGGGCACTTTGTTATTGTTTCTACTGCTGATTACCGCTTCAATATACAAGAGCAGCTCAAGGACATAACTACATAATGCGTATGTCTCTTAACGTGTGTGTGTGTGTGTCTGCCCGTATTTATGCCTATATGTTTACATGCCTGTTTGCGGTGGATGCGTGCGTGCCACACGTATGTATCTGCACACACCCACCTGTGTGTCTGTCTGTCTGTACCTGAATGTTTACTCACATTCACCAGTACGTCGACCTACACCCCCTCTCTTTCTCAGAGCGGAGCACTACTGGTGGCGGGGCCAAAACCAGCGCACGCTGAAGTTGGGCCAGTTCCCCAGGAACGTGGTGACCTCGGTGGCGGGCCTGTCGGCCCACGACATCAGTAGACCCCTCAAACACAGCTTCATCCACACGGGCCACGGAGACACAGACCCACACCGCTGCTGGGGCTTCGCGGACCGCATCGACGAGTAAGACGTATCCTCAGAACTTATGGTTCTATCTACTTGTAGTGATATGTGCCGCTTACAGTGCGTACATTTTTTTTGTATTCGATTATGCTTGCGGGGGACCCACAACCTTGGCATTGCAAAAAAAGTTGATTCAGGTGTTTTTTTACCACTAGAGGACAGTAGAGTATTGTTCATATTACTGTCTAGTCAGCTGAAGCGCAGCTGAAATGACAATAGCAGGCAGACCTGGGGCGCCTTCAGTAGGACGCAACGTTTTAAAACGTTCAGATAGAAATATGCTATGTAGAACATGCCTCTGACATGTAGGATAAGGAATCACTTCGGCTCTATTCATGGCATTTCTACAACGTTCCACAACGTTTGGGTCTGAACATGGCCCAGGGTTGGATAAGCAGATGTGAAACCTGGTGCGAGCCACCTGATTTATGGCTAGCCCCGGGTAGAGAACCTCTTGGTATGGTAAGTCAATAAATGGCCCCTCTCTCTCTGACTCGCTTGCTGTATCTCTGTCTTTCCTCTCTACCCCTCTATCTTTCTCTCATCCGCTATCTCTCTCTCTCTCTCTCTGTCTCTCTCTCTCTCTCTCTCTCTCTCTCTCTCTGTCTCTCTCTCTCTCTGTCTCTCTGTCTCTGTCTCTCTCTCTCTCTCTCTCTCTCTCTCTCTCTGTCTCTCTCTCTCTCTCTCTCTCTCTCTCCTCTCTCTCTCTCTCTCTCTCTCTCTCTCTCTCTCTCTCTCTCTCTCTCTCTCTCTCTCTCTCTCTCTCTAGTCTGTACCTAGGGAACCCCATGGACCCACCAGATGTCTTGGGGTTGGACCTCAACGCTGCCCGGCCCACTCAGCTACCAGGACGAACAAAAAGTGAGTGGCCTATTCCCAAACAACCTACTAGGCTGAAGTATTGTCAGTGACTCAAGGAATTATCGTCACAGTGGCATGTTTTTCTTCGTGGTTTATCTTTTTCCTTTTTGTGGTTGATCTTTTTTGGTTGAGCTCCCTCTTATTCTGGCTTTTCTGAACCTGACTGTTTACACAGGGAGTCCAATCTGACTTGTAATCGTCCCTTTTTGCTTTTTATTTGTTTGTCCGTCTCCGTGGTTGTACTTTCTTTCTTTCATTCTCTCGCTCTCTCTTTTTCTCTTTCACACACTTTTGTGCTCTCCCTCTCTCTCTCACTCCTCTAACCCCTATCTCTCCTTCTCTCTCTGGTGGTGGCATTTTCAGAGGAGGCACCTCCCCGTCCCCCCCAGCCAGTGGTGCTTGTCAAGAGTAAGTGTGGCCTCTCGCACCAGTTCACCCATTTCTCCTGCCCTCTCTGTTCTCTCTTAGCTCCACTCCTCAAAGGTACACGGTGTGCAATCTCTCCTCTCCTCTCTCTCTCTCTCCCTCTTCTCCCTTGTTTCTCTTTCCTTCTCTTCCCAGTTACTCCATTTCTCTTCTTCCTCCCTAACCTTGTTGTTTCTCCACTTCTCATCTTCCTCTCCCACTAACAGTTGTGCAGTTTGGGTTTCTGTGCATTGAGTGGTTAACGCCTAACCAGAGAGTTGAGAGTTGAAGCATGTGTGGACCAACTTGTGTATTGCAGCCTGGCTTAAAAGAGACGTTTTGGTCGTTTGTAATGTTTGTGTATGCCCCAAAGAATCTTCTAATGTTCTCTGTAGGATTTTGTTAGTTTCCATTCATGTACAGTCGTGGTCAAAAGTTTTGAGAATGACACAAATATTAATTTTCACAAAGTCTGCTGCCTCAGTTTTTATGATGGCAATTTGCATATACTCCAGAATGTTATGAAGAATGATCAGATGAATTGCAATTAATTGCAAAGTCCCTCTTTGCCATGAAAATGAACTTAATCTCCAAAAAACATTATCAATGCATTTCAGCCCTGCCACAAAAGGACCAGCTGACATCATGTCAGTGATTCTCTCGTTAACACACGTGAGAGTGTTGACGAGGACAAGGCTGGAGATCACTCTGTCATGCTGATTAAGTTAGAATAACAGACTGGAAGCTTTAAAAGGAGGGCGGTGCTTGAAATCATTGTTCTTCCTCTGTTAACCATGGTTACCTGCAAGGAAACACGTGCTGTCATCATTGCTTTGCACAAAAAGGGCTTCACAGGCAAGGATATTGCTGTTAGTAAGATTGCACCTAAATCAACCATTTATCGGATCATCAAGAACTTCAAGGAGAGAGGTTGAATTGTTGTGAAGAAGGCTTCAGGGCGCCCAAGAAAGTCCAGCAAGTGCCAGGACCGTCTCCTATAGTTGATTCAGTTGCGGGATCGGGGCACCACCAGTGCAGAGCTTGCTCAGGAATGGCAGGAGGCAGGTGTGAGTGCATCTGCACGCACAGTGAGGCGAAGGCTTTTGGAGGATGGCCTGGTGTCAAGAAGGGCAGCGAGGAAGCCACTTCTCTCCAGGAAAAACATCAGGGACAGACTGATATTCTGCAAAAGGTAAAGGGATTGGACTGCTGAGGACTGGGGTAAAGTCATTTTCTCTGATGAATCCCCTTTCTGATTGTTTGGGGCATCCGGAAAAAAGCTTGTCCTGAGAAGACAAAGTGAGCGCTACCATCAGTCCTGTGTCATGCTTCTCAGCCAGGGGAGTGGGCTCACTGACAATTTTGCCTAAGAACACAGTCATGAATAAAGAATGGTACCAACACATCCTCCGAGAGCAACTTCTCCCAACCATCCAAGAACAGTTTGGTGACGAACAATGCCTTTTCCAGCATGATGGAGCACCTTGCCATAAGGCAAAGTGATAACTAAGTGGCTCAGGGAGCAAAACATTGAAATTTTTGGTCCATGGCCAGGAAACTCCCCAGACCTTAATCCCATTTAGAACTTGTGGTCAATCCTCAAGAGGCGGGTGGACAAACAAAAACCCACAAATTCTGACAAACTCCAAGCATTGATTATGCAAGAATGTGCTTCCATCAGTCAGGATGTGGCCCAGAAATTAATTGACAGCATGCCAGGGCGGATTGCAGAGGTCTTGAAAAAGAAGGGTCAACACTGCAAATATTGACTCTTTGCTTAATGTAATTGTCAATAAAAGCCTTTGACACTTATGGAATGCTTGTAATTATACTTCAGTATACCACAGTAACATCTGACAAAAATATCTAAAAACACTGAAGCAGCAAACTTTGTGAAGACCAATACTTGTGTCATTCTCAAAACTTTTGACCACGACTGTACAATGTATGAAATGGAAACAATTTATTTATATCCACACATTACAGATGGACACACTGACGATTACAACTTTTTCATTTCAGGGACAACTACAGAGTCATTCATTATGTACATAAATAAACCTTGCATCAAAGGCAGCACTCAAGGTTGATCACTCAAGGTAGACCGTTGGGGCCTTGTGGATGGACTACAGTGCTACATGAGTAATGAGCGGTTACGGCGTAGAAGTATTGTAAAGTTGCCACAGTCATTAGATGCCAACGTCATTAGTCGCCAAAGTTGTTAAGTTGCGTTTGTTTGTCTGTTTGTTTTTCCAGAGCCGTGCTACGACTCGGTGACTGAGGATGAGGAGCTGACCGCCTCAGGCCTCAAGAGGCTGTCACTACGGAAAGCGGGCTCCATCAAAGGCCTCAAGCTCAAACCCGCCACCTGGGTCTCCGCCTCCAAACAGGGGGGCCAGACTATGGGCTCAGGCCACACCCCCAGTGAGGTGTCACTCATCGACTTTGGGGAGGAGTTTCCCCCGGCCACATCCTCCCCATCCCCGGTGGTGGAGCTCCAGGTGCCTTCATTGGCCAAACTGGCCCTGGAGGCGGATTTTATTCTGGACCGTACTCCTACCCAGAGCCCATTGCGCTCGCTGCCCCGCCCCTTACACCCCACGCCAGTGGTGGACTGGGACGCCCGGCCCTTACCTCCACCTCCTGCGTACGATGATGTGGCACAGGACGAGGAGGACATGGAGGTGAGCTCCATCAACAGCCTGGATCAGCAGCAGCAGCAGGGGGGGGTGGGTGAGAGCCACAGCCCCACAGAGGCCATGCCGGCTGGTGAGGAGGCCATGGCCGGTGCGGCCGACAAACCCCTGGAGGACAACCTCTTCCTGCCCTCTAGTCAGGGCCAGGCCTCCACATCCTTCTCCCAGTCAGCTGAGATCTTTCAGGAGCTCCAGCAGGAATGCATGAGGAGGCTCAATGTGCCCACGGGAGGAGGTCCCCAGCCCCCCTCACTGTCCCCGAGCTCAGGCCTCCAGTCCATGGACGTCCACCGCCAGATTGTCTTGTTCTTCTCTGAGGACAAGCCCCAGATCCCTCCACGCGTTCCCATCCCGCCGCGCCCTGTCAAACGGGGGGACTACGCCCGCTGGTCCGGTGACCTCTCCCTGTCCCCGACTCCAGCTTCCGAGGAAGTCCAGGACCGGCCCCCTCAGATCCCCCCGCGGGACCCCCTGTCCCAGCCGGGCTCGCGCACCCCCAGTCCCATGGGCCTCCAGGTGGGCTCCCCCCAGCAAAGGACAATGGTTTTCCCCAGTGCCCCTCCTCCGCCCACATATGGATCCTACCTCTCCACGTCCCCGGGGAAGCTCATGCCCACCACACATAGCTTTGCCTCGGACCCCAAATACGCCGCACCCAAGGTCATCCAAGCACAAACCCAGGGTAAGGACCTGGCCAAGGGGCCCTGCATCCTGCCCATTGTCCGCGACGGCCGCAAAGTCAGCAACACGCACTACTACCTCCTGCCTGAGAGGCCACCTTACCTGGACCGCTACGACCGCTTCTTCAGGGAAGCGGAAAACGTGCCGACCGGTGGCAGCGGTGGGATCTGCGAGGAGAGGCGGCAGGCCAACACAGCCACAGTCAGGCCCATGGTGGTGAACCAGCAGCAGCAGAACCAGGGGGGGGGAGACCTCAAGGCCAACTTCTCCTCCAACAACAACAGCAGCCTGGGCTTCCGGCTGGCCATGAAGGCCTCCCTCAGCCTGCCCAGGGTCAGCTCTGACGGGTCAGCCGGCAGGGCGGAGGGGGGAACCACAGCAGACGAGGTCAAGATGGTGAGTAGTGCCAAAGGCTCCATCCTCCGATTTTTATTTTTATCAGTAATCAGTCGATTTGATTTTCAATAAGAAACGAACACAGGAAAGAACATGGCCTACTACACAAAAACACATAGGCATAACAAAATAAAAAACTAAGGGGGGAGGCAACCACTACTGTTATATTACAAACAAAATAGAACTAGAAAAGGGATACAAAAGAGGATGACTAAATAAGAACTGGAGGATACAGCCAACAATGTATTTTTTTTAACAGTATTTGTTTGTGCTGCGTTTGTCATTTTGCTCTTTGATGCCAAATCAAAGGCTTGGCTATAGGGACTTGGGACTTTTATGATGTACTTTAATACAGTGCAGGGCACTGTATTAAAGTACTGAGATGTGGTCCACAGACACACACACAAGCCTAAACTTTTTGCAACAACTATCTAAACTATCGATCTAAATCAACACTCTCAACCAATCAAGTATCCATCAAAAATGATTTAATAGATTACACTCTGGAATGACATTGGGCTTATATTATTAATATTTTTTATTATTTTTTATTTATTCTTTATTTATTCAGAAATATCCATTGAGACCAGGGTTTAATTCACAAGGGTGCCCTGATCACAGTAAGACAACAATCAAATACAATATCAAACAAAAAGTGATCAATATAATGTAAATTAAAATAACAAATATAGAACAATGTAAGAAAAACATAACTCAGCTACTAGGTCCTCAATCAATACTTTAAATTGCCCGATCAGCACTAATACAGTACATCTTTGCCCCCAACCCATGGCACAGACTTAACATAAGCTCTAGTATGTATATACACATTTTTACCATAGGCTCTAGTCAAAAGTAGGGCACTATATAGGGAAGAGGGTCAAAAGTGGTGCACTACTTAGGTAACAGGGTGCCATTTCAGACGCAGCCATGCTCAAGGGCACAACAATTTTATGTTAAATCTAGGTGTTTATTGCAATTTATCCCATTTCGGACACAGCCCTAATCTGCCTTCAAAGTGCCTTCAGAAAGTATTCAAACCCCATTGACTTTTTCCACATGTTGTTGTCAGAGCCTGAATTAAAAATGTATTAAATGTATTTATTTTTTTGCCACTGGCCTACACACAATAACCCATAATGTCAAAGTGGAATGGTGTTTTTCTAATTTTTTACAAATGTATTCATAATGAAAAGCGGAAATGTCTTGAGTCAATAAGTATTCAACCCCTTTGTCATGGCAAGCCTTAATAAGTTCAGGAGTCAAAATGTGCTTAATAAGTCACATAACAAGCTGCATGGACTCAAGCTCACAGAACGGGACCGCCAAAAAAATTGTCTGTGCTCAGTTGAAACGCTCACTACCAAGTTCCAAACTGCCTCTGGAAGCAACGTCAGCAGAAGAACTGTTCGTCGGGAGTGTCGTGAAATGGGTTTCCATGGCTGAGCAGCCGCACACAAGCCTAAGATCACCATGCACAATGCCAAGCGTCGGCTCCATTGGTCTCTGGAGCAGTGGAAACGCATTCTCTGAAGTGATGAATCACGCTTCATCATCTGGCAGTCCAAGGGAGATTATCTGGGTTTTGGCGGTTCCGTGTAGCTCAGTTGGTAGAGCATGGCGTTTGCAACGCCAGGGTTGTGGGTTCAATTCCCACAGGGGGCCAGTATGAAAATGTATGCACTCACTAACTGTAAGTCTCTCTGGATAAGAGCGTCTGCTAAATGACTTAAATGTAAATCTTAAATGTAACGCTACCTGCCCGAATGCTTAGTGTCAACTGTAAAATTGAGGAATAATGGTCTGGGGCTGTTTTTCATGGTTCGGGCTAGGCCCCTTAGTTCCAGTGAAGGGAAATCTTAACATTAATGACATTCTAGATGATTCTGTGCTTCCAACTTTGTGGCAACAGTTTGAGGAAGGCCCTTTCTTGTTTCAGCATGACAATGCCCCTGTGCACAAAGCGAGGACAATATAGAAATGGTTTGTCGAGGTCTGTGTGGAATAACTTGACTGGTATGCACTAAGCCCTGACCTCAACCCCATTGAACACCTTTGGTATGATTTGGAATGCCGACTGCGAGCAAGCCCTAATCGCCCAACATCAGTGCCCGACCTCACTAATGCGCTTGTGGCTGAATGGAAGTAAGGCCCCGCAGCAATGCTCCAACATCTAGTGGAAAGCCTTCCCAGAAGAGTGGAGGCTGTTAAAGCAGCAAAGGGGTGACCTACTACATATTAATGCCCATGATTTTGGAATGAGATGTTCAACGAGCTGGTGTCCACATACTTTTGGTCATGTAGTGTTCCTCATCTCTGTACCCGATACATACAATTATCTGTAAGGTCCCTCAGTCGAGCAGTAAATTTCAAACCAAAGACCAGAGAGGTTTTCCAATGCCTCGCAAAGAAGGGCACCTATTGATAGATGGGCAAAAAAAAAAAAAAGCTGACAGTTGAATGTCCCTTTGAGCATGGTGAAGTTATTAATTACACTTTGGATGGTGTACACCCAGTCAATACAAAGATACACGCGTCCTTCCTAACTCAGTTGCCGGTAAGCAAGGAAACCGCTCAGGGATTTCACCATGAGGCCAATGCTGACTTTAAAACAGTTACATAGTTTAATGGCTGTGATAGGAGAAAACTGAGGCTGGATCAACAACATACTAAGGGACGGATAGAAATGTACAGAATGATTACCTGGAGGAAAATGGGGGAGGGTTTAGAATTTAAATCTAGTCCAGGGGAGGGTCATGTGTAGCTCAGTTGGTAGAGCATGGCGTTTGTAACGCTAGGGTTGTGGGTTCGATTCCCATGGGGGGCCAGTATGAAAAATGTATGCACTCACTAACTGTAAGTCGCTCTGGATAAGAGCGTCTGCTAAATGACTAAAATGTAAAAAAGAAATGTAATTTGTAATTGATTACATTTCAGTGTTTTAGTATGAGTTGCTTATTAGGCTATATATCGATGTGTGCCCTATGCCGCCCCTCATCTCTGATTCTCCGCTATATCAATATCAAGTGCGCCTCTAGGCTATTTAGTGTGGTCTCAATCAAATGATCTATAGGCTACGAAGTGCATGCTCGGAGAAGCACAGAGCAAAGTTATATTTCTAAGATAGCTGCTGGGAAGGTGTAAATAAAACTAGGTTGCATTACACACTGCAATGGATATTCCAGCCTTGAGCCCCCGGCCTGCTCAGCTCTTGCTGATCAAAACTAATGGCTGTGCTGTGTAGGGCTATGGTGGCAGTTCATAGTCAAAGGTTTCTTCTGATTATTATTATTTTTATTAGGCCTAGTACAAAGAATGCACCATCTTGCGCACGGACTAGCCAATGTTCAGTTTGAGAAGGAGTGTGTGAAGATGAGGTCAACTTTGATAGCTGCCTACTACTATAATTGAATTTATTAAAAACAATATGTTTCTTGCCCATGATGTATTTATCAGAGTTATTGACCTCACAATAAGCCAGATTCGAGTAACTTGACAGTTTATGGTGCTGAAAGTAGGCAAATTCAGGTAGGCATAATTCATTTAAACAGTCTTCATTTTAATTAGACTTTACTAACAACAAGAAAGCTTTGTGTTGAAGCATTTTTCCTTCTATTTAAGAAATAAGAGGTAGGCCTACCTGTTTGACAGACAAAATTAGGCTATAGACTGCTATATCCATAGATTTGTCGGTCAATTCCTCCACCAACCATGCACTCTTTGAATAGGCTACCTCCGTGTCATTGAAGGGCTGTTAAGTTAAAACCAAGACTCAAATTGAACGGGGTATGAGAGGATATGCTATAGGGAATTTGCCAGTACGTCCAACCGGCCTCACAACCGCAGACCACATGTAACCACGCCAGCCCAGGACTTCCACATCTGGCTTCTTCACTCAGACGATCCTGAGGTCAATTTAGTAGGTCCATTAAGTAGGCAGCTGGCTTCTCTCTGAAACCACAAATCCATCTGTAGGTGATGCTTTATCCTTTGGAACCACACAATTACCAGGTGGACAATAGGCCTCTTCAAGCGATAGAGGAAATCAACAAGATCCACAAGTGCTGCACTGTCCCACTCTATGGTGGATAACACCCACTCTTCGTTTATGTAATGGGCTGTAAGGCACAAGTATCCTATTTTTCGAAAGTCGTCGGTCCACATTTCAAGTGTAATTGCGCCATTGTATTTACCCAAGTTCTCTCTCAACTCCGGGACCACCCGTCAGCTGAGTTTTTGTTTTGTTTTGTTGCCCGATGCAGGACTCTAGTGCGAGAGGAGAGAGATTCTCGGACTGAAACATTCACACCTCCATTAATTTACGAAAGGATAGTCTAATAGCTCAGCTAGGGGTGAAAAATCCCCCAATTTGTGCCACAGTTTAGACTACCAATAGATACTGTGGTCAGTCAGAGTTGAGTAATTTGTCAAGTGTAGCTTAATGGCCAAAAAGGGCAAACTTGCAATGTATTCGAGGCTTAAGTCGTCTAAAGTTTTACATTTCTAACTCAATATAACAGACCTGATTTGCCCTAACGAAAAAGCATCAACCCCTACAAATATATACATGTATTATAATCCACATAATAATTCAAACGAAATTAGCTGTAGCAAGAGGAGAGAGACTGCATATGCTAAAGACAATCAGAAAGAATGTGTCTTTAACCCTGCATTATAATATAACTTATTTTGAACGAAGAACAGGAATGAGTGAGTCACTCAGCCCTATGCTTCTGTTCCTGCTTCTGTTGCCTAGTTGATTTTTTGTTTAATATCCTAGTGATTCTGTGATCACCAAGCCTCATGCAACCGCAAAATGTCGGATAAAGCAATTTCACAAATCCGGCTCTTCCAAAGAGTATGCAAAGCTGTCATCAAGGCAAAGGGTAGCTACTTTGAAGAATCTCAAATATAAACTGTATTTTGATTTGTTCAACCCTTTTTTGGTTACTACATGATTCCATATGTGTTATTTCATAGTTTTGATGTCTTCATTATTATTCTACGATTTAGAAAATAGTAAACAAAATGTGGCTTAAGTCCAGGGGTATGAATACTTTCTGAAGGCACTGTATATTATAGGGAATAGGGTGCCATTTCAGATGCAGACGTTGTTTTGGTGTTAATTGTGCCATCATTTATCAGGAGGGGGCAACAGAAGGCAATTATTGATCAGTCTTTACATAACACTAACTCCTGCTTAGGCACTGTTTGTGTGCTTACTGGTTTGTCTGCTTGCTTACTTACATCTACTCCTTACTGGTGGATTGATTACTTCTTCACTAAACTGAAATTCAATATTACAAACTGTAACCAAATTGCAATTGATGTATAAAAACCAAATCTATCATTTGTGCACTGAGACCACTTGGGCGATGGATGTGTACTGTGCAAAAGGAAATTATCAATAGGGAGTCTGCATTAAAGCAATCAGTCACTCACTCTCTCTCTCATTGAAGTACTCACTCACTCACTCATTAAAGCACTCACTCACTCATTATAGCACTTTCTCACTCACTGCAATCTGATTCTCTACCCTTCTTCAAAAGTGTGCACTCATTCACTCCCTCATGCATTTAAAATAATTGGATTGGTGCAAGCATGGCTGCAGACACTTTCCACCATATTCCTCACAGTCCATTCCTTTTAGATCCATGAGGGGGAGTGTATGAGTGCACACTTTGGGAGAAGGGTAGAGAATCGGAATGTAGCCACTCACTCACTCAAAAAGACTGACAGACACTCAAAACCTCGTATTTTCCACAATATATTAAAGCTCTGGCTAGAAATAAAGCATTAGTGTCTGAGCATAATTGAATTACTCTTTTGAAAAGGGTTTGTTTATGTGGTTTTGATTGACAGCAGAGGACTGCTGAGCTGATTGGTCAGTGTAGCAGCAACATTGACCTAATTGGTTGTTTGTGTGGCATCCACAGGTGCAGGAGGCGGTCCATGGCGTGACTATAGAGGATTGTCAGACAGCCCTCCAGAACCACAACTGGGACGTGCAGAAAGCTGTGCACTACCTCAAGGTAGGGTCCCTTGGCAGTAGTGCACTATTACCTTGCCACACTATTGAGAGGTACTACATTGGCCTGGTTACACATCCACCTTAATTGCTGAAACCGTGCTGGAAAGGATCATGCGAATCCAAAAAATCTGATCACAGCACAGTTTGAGTGTAAAAAGGGTCTATTATACCAGTGACCACCACAGCCCTCAAACCTGCTGCAAGTCGAGAGTAAATAATTAGATCTAGGCCTGAGGAAGTTGTGTGTAAAAAGCCAAAATGGTTGGAGAGTTGCTGACTGACAGAATAGTAAAAACATCAGAAAAAAAATTCACACGCAATATAAACTCTAAATTATTTATAAACAGGCAGTTTATGTAGTGTGACTTTTTTTTAGGACGTTGTGGAAATAGAACAGCACTACCTTACAAACGGGATTGAAATATCTGATGACAAATACATGAATAATACAATGTTTTCAGAGATGATGACGAGTCATGAGTACTGATGGTGCGTTGTAACTGATCCTGTTGCTCTCAGGTTGAGCAGCTGTTCTGTCTTGGCCTGAAGACCAGGACGGAGTGTCTCAAGGTGCTGGAGATGCACGACTGGAACCTGGAGGTGGCCAGCACTCAGCTCCTGGACTCCTACGGCTCCGTCTGGCAAAGGTAACATAGGGACCCATGGAACTTAGAACATTTAGGAGAACCTATGGCGTTCTAACCCTGCTGGTGCTGGTGCAGGCTTTTGCTCTAGACAAGCAGGCATACAACTGGGACACTCACTGTTACAAAATGTTTTTTAACAAAAAATGTAAATTCACTTTTCTTATTGGACACATCAAGGTAGTCCCCGTTTCAGTTAGTTAGTTAGTAAGTTTTCACTGATTCTACATTTTACATTTTACATTTTAGTCATTTAGCAGACGCTCTTATCCAGAGCGACTTACAGTTAGTGAGTGCATACATTTTCATACTGGCCCCCCGTGGGAAACGAACCCACAACCCTGGCGTTACAAGCGCCATGCTCTACCAACTGAGCTACAGGGGACTACTAATCAAGAATCAGTTAGTTATGTGTTGCTGCTTAGTCCAGCCCTATAACCTCTGATATACTCTGTCTATCCACAACTTCAACTGTATTGACTCACGTTAATCTAGCACCCAATAAACTAGATGGAATTGTGAATGTACTTTGATTTGTTTTCGAAAATAATGAAACGTCAAAATTAACCTCTCATCCGATTGCAGGCGGTGACTGATGTCACAAGGATCAACAGCTGAGTCCGTTCAGAACTATTTTCATTCATCAGCGGTCTTTGAAGGGGCGGAGTCTGCTCCCGTCTCTCCTTTATGATTTGCCAGATGCATCCAATAAGAAGACTGGGATTTGAGTGTGGACTTAGGGTACATTTGACTGCGTCACTATCCATGGCTGCAGTCTTGCCCACACTGAGGACCTGGAGGCTAACCCGTGCTACCACCGAATAGGCGCGGAAGTCTGCTTAGAATGCAGGTAGTGGGAACCTACTCTTGAAGGGACCATGTTGTCTGCTGGTCCCTTACCTATAGCTCAGCACTGAAGGAAAAATGTCCTCTATTTCGGTGCTGGTCTACCCGATTCAGTTATAACACATTTGACCAACTAGGCTGAGATTACCCCTTTGTGTTATTACTAATTTATATGAATCAGGGGCATGTTGCATCCCTTTGAAAACCAACAGAAACTGCAGTACCATAGAAAAAGAATATACCTCTCCTCTTCCAAAGCACTCCCCTACACTCCTACTGTATGTGTTCTGTGCTAGGCTCCTCGGTTTGGATAGGGACTTGTTTTAGGGTTGTCAGCATCTTTCTGCTGCAATGCCTGCCTTCCCAGCCTCCCCAAGGTGCTCTACTGCGTTTCAGCAGAGGTCAAAGTTCAAAAAGCCCACCTGGAAGGAGAGAACGAACATTAAAGAGAACGAAACAAAATGCAGCTGGTCCACGTTTAAGTCGACTCTTTCTTTTATGTTCTGTTCTACAGGGTTCTATTTCATTTATAGTAAGGAGAGGAATTACGTTTTTTGTTATGCACACATACAGTATATTATATATAAGAAGAGTTCAGATGTTTTGAGTTTATATATTTGCAGCAAATATGTGCTGAAAATTCATGTTTTTAGTTTTTTGGTTTTGAACCGATCGTTTGAAAAGGGGGACATATTGAAAACGTTAAACTCTCTTGAGGTGTTTTATTTGAATCAGTTAAGCCGTTTATGTTAGAATGTGCTCCCCCTGAAAAACTCCAAACGTCCATTTAATCGTACACTACTGGTGTACAGAACTATTTGACACCTGACTATTTTTTGTGCTCCCTCACTATCTACTCTTAGCACTTAGCACAAAACTACTGTTGAAAATGACCCACTGGCTTGCTTATTTAACCATGTGTTCAAAGCACATTGATACTTAAAGTATTAATTAAGAACATTGCCAGTGCTCTAGGACAAAGATTCCCCCGAGCAGACACAATACCCCTAGTAATTAGTCTTTACCTCAACTATTAGGAGCTAAAACCTTTAGTCCGCACCCATAGGTTGCAGAGAATTTTGAGAGGAAAAAATGTCAGCCCTGGCCCTAGTTGGTTACTCACATCAAGCACATGCAAGATCCAAAATGTCACAATACTGGATTAGTCTCGGCCAATAAAGTAAGTAGACGTCTCAAAACCTAGAGCAAACTGTATTATAATATGTGAGTGTCTGTCTTCAATGTATTTTCTATAATGTGCTGTCCTCTGTATTCACCATAGACCAGTGGAGCAGAGATTCTGGAGTGGTTCGCACGCAACCTGCTGGTTTTCCGTGTGATATGATTGAAATTATGTTTTTGAACATTTACTTTTTATAGTTGATTCCAATATGTAAATAAATCTTACCTGAGGTCGTCTGTAACTGACCTCAAATCAGTTAAAATTCCAGCACAGACCAACACGGTTAAATTAGCAGACCCACTGTATCAATTTGGATGTGTGACTGTGTTTGTGCATCTCTGTGTGAAACAGACTGTCTAGACATTCTCCAGAGAGAATGTTATGCCAAGTAGTTGATTAGAACACTTGCCACCATGTCTGTTTGTGAATGCGGTGTACCGTCCCATAAACAGTTTGCTCATGTTCCAAACTCAAACTTAGTCTCCTTGCCCTGTTCTCTCAGTCGTTCGCCGTCGCAGATAAGGAATGGATGCGTTAAACCAATTTGACGGTACATAGCCTATTGCAGGGTTTAATAGAGTGGAGCTATCGGTCTTACCTATCCTCCCCTTAAGATTCATGCAGTCCTCAAAGGGTACCAGTTTTTGGTTTGGAACACAGCCTTAGTTGAACTTTTCCTGTACGCAATAATAATAATCCATCCAGCCATGACAAAAAGGGAATGCTTCCATTGCTGTGAACTCCTTGATATACATAAAAATCTATGTTGTAGTTTAGTGTTTAGTGGCACCATCTGATGTCACCATAAGGCAACCCTGTCCCCATGTCTTACACCGTTTATATATTTGATACCAAGCTGCTGTAGTTGTAGAAGGACTGAAGCGACCTTGTGGGTTTATTACCCAAATCAATATTCTCCTGTTCATGTGTTTTTTTTTTTTTTATGGTTGTATTACCTTTTTGTTGGTTTGTTAGTGCAATCCGACGTACCTGTTACCGATGTACTTTCCCAGAAAGTGTTTTATTTTCACATGGTTGTACAATAGATTTTCCCCCTTTCCCCTGGGTGTTTGGAATTGTGCAAGAGGACAAATGCAAGTTAATGCTGCCGATCTCAAATGTATAAATGTATTTTTTATTAAATAATTAACCTTTTTTTTTTTTTTACCTTGCTCTCATTACGTCTGATTCTTTCTCTTGGAACGTCTTGATGACCATTGATTGACTCTTATTTTGAAGTCAGAAGAGCAACATTTTGAAGAATGGGCAGCTAATTACTCACCTAGGACTAATTAGCAATAACGGGCTAAAGGGGGTTAAGCCCAGCAGCTCCGTGTTGTCTTAATTTAGCTGAAAGAGAATCTGAAACTACATATTCTTGATTAAGCCTCAAATGAAAAGCACTTAGCTGGCTTTGGGCATTTTACTCAAGTTCGATATGACATGTGCTTCGTTTGTTTGCACCTGAAGGACCGACAAACCTTTAACAAATGGCCAAATCAATGTTTACGGTTTAATTTCAGTCTGTGTGAATGAAATGTGTGTACAGTAAAGTCCACCTTCTGTGTGTCTTGTGTATGTGCGTGTATCCACCTTTCAATGGCCTTGGTTTGTGAGTGATCAATCTGTATCAATTAGGTTGATTGACTCAACCTCTTGACAGATGGCTTTGCTCTCTACAAGGACCCAGACCTTGAGTATATTGATCCTAGTTTTCCCGTTTATAAATTAGTATTTTCCTAATTTATAAAAAAACATTTACCACTTGTGTTTCAGAGTACCTGAAGTCCTTTCTTCCTTTATACAACTTATATGAAAACGTCCCATTTGTGTTTTATGATACAGTGGGATTCCTAATGATGATATAAAATGACTCGCAGTCGATAAAAAGGAAAATGTTACTTTATTACGCAATAAATATGTAAAAGTGATGTAGCTATGGAGTCGCTTGTTATAAATATAGGAGGTTGGCATTTCCAAGATAGAGGGCCTGAATATACTTGTTCACTTACTCACATACACCGCTACTCTGTTTGGGCTGCAGAAATGTTGCTTACGAATGAAAAGTGCGGGTCCTCCATTCGTCTTTGTGATGTGTCTGCACAGTATGGTTGCCGTTCCCAGGCCAAGTTATTCATATCTGTCGTCCCTATCATTATGGGCTAGAGAAAGCATCGGCGTCAGAAGATTCCCCCGAGAAATTATTTTGTTTCTCGCAAATAAAAAGGGAGCAAGGGAAAGGATGGAGAGAAAATATTTGTAGAAATAAATTGAATCAAGTAGACTAAAAGTGAAAAACTTCCCAACAATGCAGAGAAAAAAAGAGAAATAATAGAAAAATAATAACACGAGGAATAAATACACAATGAGTAAAGATAACTTGGCTATATACATGGGCTACCAGTATACAGTTGAAGTCGGAAGTTTACATACACCTTAGCCAAATACATTTTAAACTCAGTTTCTCACAATTCCTGACATTTAATCCTAGTAAAAATTCCCTGTTTTAGGTCAGTTAGGATCACCACTTTATTGTAAGAATGTGAAATGGCAGAATAATAGTAGAGTGATTTATTTAAGCTTTTATTTCTTTCATCACATTCCCAGTGGGTCAGAGGTTTACATACACTCAATTAGTATTTGGTAGCGTTGCCTTTAAATTGTTTAACTTGGGTCAAACGTTTCGGGTAGCCTTCCACAAGCTTCCCACAATAAGTTGGGTGAATTTTGGGCCATTCCTGTCACACTCTGGCTCCGGGACTGTGTGTTAGAGCCAGGGTGTATTTCATTTGGTGGTGTTGGGTATGGGTGAGTTTCATTTGTTTGTGTTTGTGGTGATTGGTTAATGACTCCCAATCAGAGGTAACGAGTGTCAGCTGTCGGCTCGTTATCTCTGATTGGGAGCCATATATATTCTGTGTGTTTTTCTCCTTGGGTTTGTGGGTTTTTGTTTCCTTGTGCTATGTGCAGTCGGTGTC